GGTTTCTCGATCAGTTAATATCTTCATTAAGCATCCATATCTACAAATAATTTCTTCATAAATAAATTAAGCTACTTAAGAAGCAGTAGCTTCCAGTACAGCCTTTCTTTTAGTCACTTAATAAAATAATTAATGGTCACTATAATATATTTGTTTTCTTTGTCTGTTGAGGGTAGAGGTCCTACAAAGTCAATTTCGATTTGATAAAAAGGTGTTTGTATTATAATGGGACGTAAATCTTCATGTTTATTTAGTTTTTTTCTTCTTTGGCATTTGTCACAGCTTCTAATATATACACGAATATTTTCATACATTTGAGGCCAATAATATCTCTTTCTGATTTTATCGAACATAATATCAGTAGTAAAATATCCAGCTGTTAGATCATTATGCATCATGTATAAAATAGCTTCCATTTCATAAGTTCTAATTATCTTTAATAGCTTTCCAAAGTTTCATTTATCGTTCCTATATAAATAATTATTTTGAACTATATAAGGTATGCAAAAATTTTTAAATTGTTTGATAGCTTTAGAAGTTATTAACTCTGTAGAGATAAGTTATTGTATAATATAAGAATAGATACAATTATATTAATTAATATCCATGATGAGCTATATGTCACACTGTATACACTTTCACTTTTACCCTAAGTAATATAAGTAATAATATAAATAATAAATATCAAAAATAGTAAAAAGAAAATCTTAATCTAATTCAGGAAACTCAGGTTATATATGTTCAAGAGAGGTGAGGTAGAAGGGAAGTTCTTAAAGTATTCTATGCAACACTTGCATCTGAGTTTCTAATAATTGTGTTTTAACTTTTATCAGCTCATTCTACCATATTTGATTATCTAAATATCTTGGATTCATATTTGGTTGAATTTGATCCAATTTATACCCAATTATACATTTGTGCTTAACAGTGTTATATGATAAATTTATCTTACAAGCTTTACAGTATGTATGTAAGTGATGGTTTTCTATATCATATGAATAGTTACATCTAAATCCTTCACTATTTATAGGTTGTTCTGCTATAACTTGTTTGATTTTTATGTTTGCTTTATATATATCCTGCATTTTCTCAAATAAGGATTGATATCTTACGGTGATAATTATTGGCTTAAACCAATCATTAAAAAGTTTATTTTCTAGTATTTGGTCCTGATTATATAAGGGATTTAAAATGAACCATTCAGTTTCATATTCATTATTTTTCTCAGAATGTGATGGATTATCTGTGATATAGTTATTTTTGATAGAAGAAACATAGCCAGTTTCTACATCTGATTCAAAGTTCAAGAAAAATACTTCTAATTCTTCTGGTATCTATGATAAAGCATCAGCGTTTGCATTAGCTTTGCTAAGTCTATATTTAATAGTGAACTCATATTTTAAAGTTTTATTACCTATCTCGCTCTTCATCCTTTAGGTAGTTTGAAGGTTTGTAACCATTTTAAAGCTGAATGATCAGTTATAAGTATAAAAAGTTTCATTCTCAAATAATGCTAAAATATCTTATAGCCCATACAACTGCTAAACATTCTTGATCGGTAATAGTATAATTCTTTTCAGCTGAATTTAGACTTTAACTTGCATAGGTAATGACATGTTCTTTTCCATCTAATTGTTCTTATAAAAGAACAGCTTTTAGACCTATTCCAGATGCGTTCATGTAGATAATAAAAGGTTTGTTAAAATTAGAGTAACTTAATATCAGAGCTTTGATTAACATTTCTTTTAATCTATCAAATGCTATCTGTTGTTTGTCTTCCCAAAGGAAAGGTTTGTCTTTTTTTAATAAAGTGAGCATAGGTTAAGCAATTCTTGAAAAATCTTTGATAAACTTCTGATAGTATGAAAACAGTCTGAGAGTAGCACAGAGTTATATAAAGTTCGTTGGTTTTGGAAAATTCTTGACTTTAATTATCTTTTTGAGATCTGGGCAGATTCCATTTAGTCCTACTACATGTCCTAAGAAATGGATATTTAGTAGGCAAAAATAGCACTCTTTTAACTTAATTTTTAAGTTTACATTCTAAATAGCTTTAAATACTTGGCATATATAGTCTATATACATTTCAAAAATTCCTTTTGAATAAATTATTACATCATCTAAATATACAGTAACGAAATCTCTGAGAAAGTGTTATAAGATTTTATTCATTAACCTTTAGAAGGTTCCAGGTGCATAACTTAGTCTGAAAGATATTACTAAAAATTCATATAGCCCAAAAGGTGTTATAAATGCCATTTTTCTATATCTGATTCATCCATAGCTACTTACCAGTATTCACTTGCAAGATCTAATGTGGTAAACCATTGGGCAGCTCTAAACTTTTAATAGGTCATTGATTCGAGATAAGGAATAAGCGTTAGCTTTGGTAACAGCATTTAATTTGCGATAATTGATGCAAATTCTTTTATCACTACTTTTCTTGTCTATAATTACTACGGGTGAAGTCTAAGGGCTTGAGGACTTTTGAACTATCCCTTATTCTTCTATTTTAACTATTTCATTTCTAAGAAATTTTTGATTCTTTGGATTAGTCTATATGGGATTTGTGCGATAGGCGTAGTATCGCCAGTTAAAATCTAATATTTTATTAAGTTCGTTCTTCTGATCCTAGTTTGACTCTTAGTACAAATATCAGAATGATCATTTAGGAGAGCTTGAAAAGCCTTTATAAATGATAATTGAGAAGTTCAGTTTAGTTTATAGGTACAGATTCGTTTTAGACGATTTCAGCTAAAAATACAGCCAGATTTTTATTGCATTTATCGAGTTAGCATTATTATTATCGTCAGTTTTGGCTTCAAAACTTTTTGGGAAGTAAAAATTTATCCATGGATTAAATTCTAACTCACTTTGGTCGACTGAATATTTGTCAAAGAAATAAATTGACATTTTTTGAGGCATTCTTCTTCATACTCTTCTTCTAAAACCTCTTATGGTGTATCATAAGTTACTACTTTTGAGATTTTCGTAAAAGTAATCAGGATTCGAATAATAGTTCAATTTTTTCTAATAGTTAAGGTGGATTTTTTCTAATCTATGTTGGCATTTGAATTTCAGAACCAATCATTACCTAAAATTAAGATTTCGTCTCTAGATTTTAAAACTTCACTAGAATATCGTCTAAGATCCTTAAGAAGTTAGTTCTAGCTCCATTTGTTGTAATTATAATCATTTTTGAGGTTCGATCAATTTCATAACCTAACCTATCCAGTAAAGTTTTCGTAATTATGCTTGTAGCTGTGTCACTATCAATTATAGTAATTTGGATTTTTTTTTCGATTTGTAAAGTATATTTAGTTGTAGAAGTAGGCTCATCATCACTTTCAGCTAAATTAGCTTCTTTGGTTTTTTCAAAAGCTTTTTCTCTAGATCTCCTTACGGCCCTAGCTAAACCAGAATGATAATTCAATATAGCATGAGCAGCTTGTTCTACTGATAATCCACATGAAAGATTCTAGAGATAAGTAGTGACATTGAACTCCATTAATTGTTCAATCAGAGCTAGCATTAATCTTCTTTTTATATTCTTAGGATTATTCAGAACTTTGATTTGCATTAGAGTGGAATTTATTTATGCGAATTCTTCTGCGAGATTCGACATAACAGTTGATTTGATAAACCTTTTAAGGTTTTCTTCCCTTTAAGATTCTATGCGTTTGATTCTTCAACTTTTTAATATTGGATTATCAGAATATGGTCTCAATCATGTATTCAGGTAGATTTTGTATTCATTATTTTCATCTATTTCATAATCATAATTGTCATATTCTTTATTAGTATATTGATCCGCTAAATGCATTTCTCTAGTTTCATTAAAATGGAGTCTATGATTATCTTAACGATATCATTGCGACTGGGTGTAATTTCTCGTAATAAAAATTGAAAAAACTACACAAACACAAATGCATTGATATTTTAACTTAATTAAATTTATAAATACTCATTGTCGAGTACGTACTTACAGTTTTCAGATATGTATTATAAATTTATAATATAATCAAATAATTTTTATATTTCTAATTTATATTAATTTTTAAGATAAAAAAATGTAACAATATTACTTGTTCATACTGTAAGCTAATTTGTCTTCCATTAAATGAATTTTGTAATTTGAGTTTTCTTTCAGATTCAATTTCTTTATTAAGTAAGTTTATATATTTTAATATTTAATTTTGATTTTTAAAAATACTAATAATTTTTAAATAGACAATACAGATCATTATGCAATTTTTTAACACATTTGTAGAACTAAAACTACTGAAAAATTTAAACTAACATATATGCAATTACAGGAAAATGTGAAGCTAATTACAAAAAGTATTTTAATTGAAAAAAAATTTGTAATTATATTAGTTGTGAATATTGTCAAAAATATCATTGTATATATAGCAATAAAGCTTTAAATGATAAGGAACAGTATGATTATTAATAAGCATTAGAATCTTATTCATATTCTTGTAGTATACCAATTTTTCTAATGATCATTACTTAAAAAATATGGGGCCTTTGCAGTAGAAAAACCGGAAACTCTGAAAAACGTGATTTTGAGATAATTGAGTTTGAAATTTTGATCACATGTAAACAGATCGACAGTCTGCAGAATTAAAAATAGAATTAACCCATTATAGTCCGATCTGCATTATATTGTTTATTTATTTTAAAATGCAATAATAAAAAGCCGTTAAAATAAAAAAATTAACAATCATTTTAATTTTTATTTAAATAATTTTTATTTAGAACTAATGTTTTCTGAAATGAGTGTCCGGAGACGTTTTTTCTGTGAAATGAACGTCTGGTGACATTTTTTTCCACGAAACGAACGTCCGCTGATATTTTTTTCTGTGAAATAAATGTTCAGTGATGTTTTTTCTATGAAACGAATGTCCGGTGATGTTTTTTTTCGCGAAATGAACGTCCGGTGATGTTTTCTTCCACGAAATGAACGTTCAGTGATGTTTTTTCCGCGAATTGAACGTCTAATGACGTTTTTTCATGAATTGAACGTCCGGAGACGCTTTTTCCGCGAATTGAATGTCTGGTATTGTTTTTTCCGCGAATTGAACGTCTGAAGACGCTTTTTTTGCGAAATGAACGTCTGGTGACATTTTTCCGTGAATTGAGTGTTCAGAAACGTTTTTTCTGCGAAATGAACGTCTGGTGATGCTTTTTTTACCAAACGAACGTCCGGCGACGTTTTTTCACGAAATGATCATCTGGAAACATTAATCTATGGAATTAA